CGATGGAGGAATTTCTCCTGGCATTGAAAGCACCAAAGGTGTCTTGGTTATGTGAGATGGGGTCACATTTCCAAAACTTATAACTGCACCCTCACAGAAAAAGTCTGAGGTCTGTTACTGATTGTATCCTTACAGAAAAAAGAAGTGGAACCATCACTAGAGTTAGGTGTACCTGTCCACAGCTAGTTAACCCGGCTGTTCCTTTTAACGTATGCTTAAGAAGTGAGGCCAAATACAGTCTTAGACATGGTTTAGTTAGAACATTTTAATTGCATACTGTTATGTTTTTTTGTCAGACAAACTAGGTACAGTTTTGTCATTTCTGATACTACAGAGCCATTACTGAGTCACTGAACTACTGTAGATAGTGTTGAAATTAACAATTGATTATATATTATAGCAGGCTATAAATTCTTTTAAATACAGTGTTTAGGAGTCATTTTTATGAACTGAGCCACTTTCCTTTTAGTATATTTAAATGCCTCATTGAGGGTGATTATTAAATGTATTCAACTTGGTTTCCCTATAAGACTCAGTCTAGGTAGAAATGAATGAGTATTCGATGAGAAGTGTGTGTATCTTAGAGACTGTTTATGTATTCTAATCCTTTTTACCCCTCCCCCCTTAGAGAATTTTGAAGCTTTCTTTAGGTTAAATGTGTTTCTTTTGAGAATTATTTTGGGAAATACCTTTATATATTTGTGTGTGTTAATTTTTATTATTCAAAAAATGCTTTTTGTTAGATGCCAAAAAACAACTTTAACTCAAATGTGTTTTGTTCCTGGTCAGAACAGTTAATGTTTCAAAGCTCTTTCACATCTAGATGTTTCTGAATTAGGATTCACGTAATAATGAATTCTGCTTATTTTGGGTTTCCACAAAGGTTTGTTGTCTGAGCTTAAAATAAGACTGCAGCTGATCTGCGTAACACATATTAACTGTTTATTTAGTTTAAGTACATGTCTGTATCTCTCATTTCTGATCAACCTGGAAAATTTGCATGCTGCAGAGCAGCCATCTTCTTCTATACTTTATTAAATATCTGTCAATTATAAATATCAAGGTTTTACATTAATGTCAAGATAGTACATCAAAAATTCATGGAATATGTGACTTTTTCCAAGGGTATTTAATACTTAATGCATTTGTGTCATTTTTCTTTCCAGAGATATTGACAGGTTTTATTAAGTGTTTGTTAGGGAGATTTCATTTTTATCAAGGGACTATGAAGAGAAGCTGCATGCTAAATCAATTTTTTAAAGCCAGAATATTGTTCATTTTTTCATCTTCAAACTCTTGTAATCCATAGGTTTTATGTAAATTTCTTCTTGGTTTATTTTTGTTTTATGTGAGTGATAGTTCAAGACAGAACTTTAATAAGGATCAAATATGCTGACTGTAGTGCTTTTTAATTTCCTTAAGCATAGCTACCAGACCCATGCAATATGGTAAATTCTTCAAAATGTCATACTTACATATTTAGCAATATTACTTCTTTTTATTGAAGCCAAACAAATGATTTTAGATATTAATCTTTCCCAAACATAGTGATTATTTTGTACTAGGTACAATATTACTGTGCCTCGTCTGCATCCCTCCTAGAGAAGGGTGTGGGGAGGGCTTTGCAGTGGCGCCTGGCTGGGCATAGAAAATGAGGGTCCTCTTTTCAAAGCGAACTCTATAGGGCTTCAAGTCTGATTATGAGCTATGGCAATTGTTAATTTCTCCAAGAGCAAATATTTATAATGCTCAAGAAAGTGAAAATGCCAATCGCTTAAAAAGCTGCAGACAATCCATGGCTAGTTTCTCATCCTGTACGTGAGGAGTGGAGGGGATTTGCTGTGGCAGACCCCATGATCTCTCCTTCACTGGCGCCTCTGCCGGCCAGACACCCCCCTCTGCACCCCTCCTCTGTATATCCCAGCTGTCCAGCTAACTGGCCATGAAGAGGAAGTTTTCTGTTTTAATTTATATGTTTATTTTTGAAGTACAGGTTAATAATACCTTCTACTGGAGAGGGTATGTCATAATAAACAAAATCCTTACAGGATTTTGCTCTAGAAAGTCAGGAATATTCAGTTATCCTTCCTTTAAAGTACGAGCTTAAATACTAGCATCTATGAACATTTTAGGAACTTTCAGGTTAAGATGACAGTTTTTACAAGACATATTTTTAAACTTTAACTTGGTCTTCCACAGGCTTGGTTTCTAAGCAACAACAACAACAGTATCATTCTGTCCAGTGTTTTAAAAAATATCACTGTCCAGAGCTTCAACAAAGAGTGTTTGGGATAGACATTTTTCTTGTTCATTTTTTCAGGATATGTGAAAATATTTCTTTTCGGAGCTAAATGTTTTTTTTTTCTTGTTTTTTTTTAGCTAAATGTTTTTCATATGCAAATCATTTCTAATCTTTGAATGTTTAAAGATCCTTGTAAAACTATTACATAATAATTTTAAGCGGTAGAGCAGGTGTTTTTGGAAACAGATTTGCTGGAGTAAAGCTGAAGCCTCGCCATGCTAGATAAACCTTGCCCTGGCGTGACTGTCACCTGTCCACCCTGACACCAGTAGGTGGCGATCGTGCCACAGTAGTGAGAGCCCTGGCGAAGTGGGAGTGATTTGCCTTTCTCTTCTTGCCTTTCTCGGTCCTGTCACATTTTGCTTCAGTGTAACTGTTAGGTGCATGCGTCTGTGGCGGGTAGCTTTTTCGACCAGAATTATGTGCAGTAGGCACACTGTATTTTTTTAAGCAGATAAGAACAGCTATTTCTGACAGATTCTGAAGATATTACATAACCCCACAGCCAAAATATTCTTAATCTGAAGAAAGCATTTGTGCATTTTTCTTGAGTTTTCTTTACAACTTCATCAGGACTGTGAGCATGAACTTATATTTTTGGTAAGAAATGGATACAAAGGAAGGAGAACATTTTGGAGAGTGAATGCTTTGTCTTTTTCATCCTTGAGGAGGTTGCTGTCATTTGAATTGTTTCTGTATTGTCCGAAGCTATTTAAGATGTCCCAGTGTCGAGTGTCAGAAGATTCTTTTTCAAGTCGTTTTGACAGCCAAGCATTCCAGTTTTGAGAATTTTCATTTTTTCTCCTATTTAATAAGTTGAACTTTTGGGGAGGTGCGATCAAATTTTTGAATACTTAAGGGATTTAGCATTGGAATTTACCAACTTTCAAAATACCATAGTGCATTCCACAGTTTAAGTGAATTAAAATATTTTAAAGTAAGAAAAGCAACAGTGCTTTCCCACCTCCTGGAGTTTGAAAAGAGATGGGATGTGCCGGGGATGGGAGGCTTTATTTCATTTGTACGCACAGGGAAATGTTAGCCACAGGATTTCCGAGGTTTTCTACGGTACGTTTCATCATCAAATCAGTTTTGGAAAGAGGGACAGTTCTCTTGCTGAATTTGTACTTGAATGAGGAAAAACCTGAGCGCTCTTGTGATTAGGTTTTGTAATTCAGTGGAAAGCATCTTTCAGACTCAGGACATAGCCATGCTTGTCGTTTGTTGCAGAAGAGGAAGTAAGAAGCTCCGATCCGTCTCTTAGGTTCTCCCACCTTAGTTGGTTGACCATGGCATCGATCTTTTTAATCCCAAAGATAGGCTTTCCTGGTATTCCTAGAGGAGCTAGAAAATGCCCAGGGCAGCACATTATTTTATGTATTGACTTAAAACTTCTTTAATTTCATTTTTATTACAACACTTAAAAACGATGTGACTATTTTTATATGTTGACTTTCCTTCCAAAGGGTTAAAACTGGGCTAGGGATTAGAGGGGAGCAGCGGGCACCTGGGAGCTAACACCCATTGGCAGCCTTTTGTAATATATAATTTGCCTAAAATTGCGCACTGAGCACAAGCTTTTGTTTTCTAATTGATTTACGGTTTGAGCCACTTTTACCTCATCCCCTACTGTCCTGCATACGGTGCCAGCGAGTACATTACAGTGAGCGATGATAAATTACTGTGCACTTGTGATGCTAATGCGTCAAGAGTAAAAACTGCGTGCTACATGGAGCTTCATGCATTAACAGTGGTGCAGACACAGAACAGCAGAATTTCATTTGTATCTCAGAAATCACCATTTGTTCATTTGATCACTTACTGCAATCTGTCTATCAGACTGTAATTGAAACTGAAGATTAAAATGATACTGTTACAGCTTTTAATTCCTTAATTGAGACAAAGTTTTTAAGTGCTTGCGAGGTCTAAGGTGCGGGGGAGGGGAGTGTTGTGAAGAGAGAATATGAAATGTATAAAATTTTCTCGTAAGTGTGAAGTTTTGGATATTTTTACCAAATGTTCTTTTGTCCAGAAAAATAAGTAGTAAAATTTAAATATGCCGATCTCTATTTTTCAAAAAAATCTGTTTGTAAAATTTATTTTGTAATTTCACAGAACTGTATTTTTCCTGATTTTTTTTGTCCAGGAGCCACATTTACCATGTAGATGATTCATTTGCACATAACACGTTGATTCCCATCCAAATGATTTAAGTCAGAGATAAATGAAAGAACTTTCCATTTATTAGAGTGCCTTTAATTGTCCCTTTTATTGATGTAAGGGGAGATTTGAAATCTAGACATAAGGGCCGCGCAGCACATTATGGCACAAGACACAAAGGAAGTCTGCACGGATGGACACTGGACTTTGTGGGCTCCAGGTTTCTGTCGAGTGGGCGTGCCTACCTTTTGTGAAGTCAGTCCACCTTAAATTTTATTTTTGTGCCATGTCCATGGGTTCTAGTATGGAAAGAGGAAAAAGCAGATTTATGGCGGCTGCTGGGCACAACAAATTAAGTTGACAGTGATGTATGAGAGCATAATAGCATGATGATCCCTCAGCAGCGGCTGGACGCCTCCTGCTTCATTTGGCTCTTGTTAGGATCTGTTAGGCAGCTAAATAATGAAATTCTGCTGACTGATTTCTGTTTTCCCTCTTTCTCTTCTCACCTCTGCTTTCTAAAACTTCTAATTCCCAGACCCATCCTCATGCCAACAAACTGCCCTTGAAGGATTCTTTCACTTATGAGGACTACAGGTTGGTATGGTGTGTGTGTGTGTGTGTGTGTGTGTGTGTGTGTGTGTGTGTGTGTGTGTTGGGGGGTGGTTTCTAAGTGAATTTGGGCTCTTGGAAGTGAGAAATGCTTCAGCAAGAAGTGACCTGTGTGGCCATTTAAAACCTCAAGACAGAGACAGTCTTTCAGAAGTTATAATGACAGCTGGGACCGGTGTCAGCATTTTAATAGCTGAGGAGAAATTGCCATTCACCTGTAATGGTGGGGAATTAGTTGAGGCAGCCAAGTGATACTTGGGGTGGTCGTGAGAATTTTTTTCTTTTTAAAAAGACTGTTTTAGTGTAAAGTTTTGGTCTTCATTTAGAACAAAAGATTTAATTCACTGCACAATATAATAAAAACTAGCCCTCCACATTTTGTAGCATTTTTAAAGGATTTCTGATCAGAAAGGAGTTATATTGTTTGCTTTTCACTGAGGCTTAAAAGAGGGTGAGGTTCGTCTTGACGGGGCAGAGAAGACCCAGGGCCGGAGAACTCTGTTCTGGGCCCTCCTCCAGAGTGTTCTTCCAGGCCTCGGACTTGGCGGGAACCTTCTCCCTTAGTCGCTCACTCCTGGATTCCCTGTGGCTCCTTTTCCTTCCCCTCTCCCTTCCTGCTCTCAACCCCAGGTCTAATTTTAAATGCTGTTGAGGAAGCCCACCCATCACCTTTGGTACTTAGGAAAAGCTTTAAAGATATGTGAGCAGTCAGACAAATCTCAGCTTCTGGTCAGGTTACTACTGGGATGGGCTTTCAAGTGTCCTGACTCTAATGCACCTTTTCTCTGCTTGGTACAGGTGGGCAGTCTCTTCTGTGATGACACGACAAAACCAGATTCCCACGGAGGACGGTTCCCGGGTGACCCTGGCTCTCATTCCTCTGTGGGACATGTGCAATCACACCAATGGCCTGGTAATGACCTCCGCGGTGTTGTGCTTAATCAGGGAAGCCATTGTGGTTAAACTTGAAAGTGGGCATTCCACCTACACACCGTTTTCTCCCCTGATTGTCTCCTCCAAAGGGAGCAAACACCCCTCCCGCCGCCCACAAACAGAGGCTGGTATTTTTCTCTCCTTGTGTTTACTTAATCCCGAAAACCGACCGGGAACTTGAATCTTACATCACTTTTGAAAGCCGCAGTGAACTGCATTTATTTGTGAAGCCATAATTCCAGCCTAAACATTAATTTTCTTATGTTATTGAACCACAGACTAAACCAAGTTTCTGTCTTCTTATTCTTTTTAAAATACCGATTTATTGAAAAACCTTTCTTCCTTGTTTTCCTTTTATGTTCCTTGTTTTCTTCCTTTGCTGACTGTACTCCAGTTAGGTACGGTTCTGTGGTTCCTTCCTGCCCCCTCCCTTCACCTGACACACTGACACATCCTTGGCCCCAATTATTAACCTGCTTTTGTTTGGGAGCCGGCACTGGATTCCTGGTGCTGGGGTGGGAGGGGGTGTACTTGGCCATTGGCCGTGACTGCAGGACTCATTTGGCATCATCAGACTGGGGAGTGCTGGGTAGGAGACATGAAGAAAACAGAGAAATTTTATGATTGTTAATTACGATGCACAAAAGAAGGAAGCTGCTCTGTGCTTCTCAGCATTCTTTGGATTCCAAGTAACAGCGAAGTTGACGGCTCTCTGTGCTGAGATGGGTGTCTGAGAAAGAGATCCTGATATTAGTGCATCGAAATATGATCAACTTCAGAATAGTTTGCATTTTTAAGCCTTATACTGGTATACTGGTTTGGTTAATTTTTTTTCAATGTCAACTTTCTTTGTTATTAGCAGTATTATAAATAGAATGGAAAAATGCTATAAATGAGTATTTCACATTTAATTCCACAAAACAGTGAGCACATGTGTAAAATCGCATACCCTCCTGCTGACCTGGGAAATGTCTAGCAACAAGTACACGCTGAAATTGTAGCGAAGTAGTCCCACCTTTATACTTATATTTTTGCCTTAATTTATATATACTTAACATAATTAGCCATTTTAAGGAATAGTAGCATGTTTTACCATTTATTTTCATTAATGAATAATATTTTACATTCTTTGTTCTGTATTTACTTTCCCTTCAGAGCTGTTTTAAACTGAAGTTTTAATATTTTCAAATAGCTTTTAATATTTGACTATAGTTGACTATAGTATTTTTCTTTCTTTTTCTTTTTCTTTTTTTTGATTAGATCATTGGTTCCTGAACTTGATTGATCATTACGGTTTATTTTTTTTGTATCTAAAATTTTAAAAGTACACTTTATTGTAAACACACAAAACCAGTTAAACAGTCCAGAAGCTTGTGCTGTGAATGTGGCCCTACCCAGCTGCAGGGCCCCTGCCTGGGGCCTCCCAGGTCACTGGTGAGGGCTTCCTGTGCATCTCCCAACCTTCACTGCCATGTGAACTCTTACACACTCCCATACACACTGGTGTTTATGTTGCTTTCATGTAAACGGGATTAACTATTCACTTTTTCCTCTAAAAGTAAAGAAAAAAGTTAGATTATCTCAAAACAAAAATAACGAATTGATGACAACTATTCATGCTGTATTTTTTTCTAAATACCGTCTTTAACTCGCCACAACCCTGGCAAAAACACTGTTCACCTTCAGAAGGTTTACCCACCATGTTAGCACTTTCCTACGGTTAACCTTGTGGAGCTGTTCCCATTGTAATTGTACACCCTGGTGGGAAATTTCGTCTGGTAGAATTTAAGAATCTATTTTAACACTGCAGAATTGTGTATGCTATGTATTAGCAGTTAATCTCTTTTTAAAAGGTACTTGAAGTTAAGGCTGGCTTTTCAGACAGTAGATATTCTTTTGTGTGTGTCGATCCTGACAGTTGGTGTCTGTCTGTTCTGACTATCATTGAGGGAATAGACAGAAATTTATAACCCAGCAACGCTGTGTGCTTCCAACAATGTCTCCAAACCTGCTCACGGGAGCAGTGGAAGATCAAGTCTGTGCCAGTAAGGAGCATGGGAAGCAGAAGGAGGCGAAGGCTGGTCAGATCTCTCAGCCACAGGCTCTGGTGAACGTGAACTGACTCTGGCCACTCGCAGAAACAAATTCAACAAGTGTATGAGACGTTCTATTAAGCTGTAAGAAATAATATGTCTTTAAGTTCAGAATGACTTGTTCAGAATTCATGAAGCAGCAGGTTTCCTGTCTGGAGATTGTTGAATTTGCAGAGAAGCACACCTGTGTGGTGCGTAGACCACTGTGTGAGCTCCAGTGGGTACTGCGTTCGAGTAATTGGCCCTGACATTTGAATTGTGACTGCAGTGAGGGTGCAGGAGCCTTGAAACTCACGCAGAATTGCGGGAGACTCTTTTTCAGGGTCTTTCTGTTTGACTATTGAAAAATCTAAAACATTTAGATTCACATGAGTCTTCCAATAAAAGCCCAGCTTTTCCCAGTAGCAGAGAAGGCACCCCACTCAACCTGTCCCCACTACACCCCCCCAGCACACAGGCCCAGTGCCCTGTGGTTTCTCAGACACCAGCACGTGCCCACCTCAGGGCCTTTGCACCTGCTGTTCCCTCTGCCTATACCACTGTCCTGGGATGTCTCCAGGACTCCTCACAGCACTCCTCAAGCGAGGCCGTCCCAAGCACCCCGCACAAGATCATCTCACCGCCCCTTCCATAAGCCTCCCTTCCTGTCCTGTTGTCTTCTCCTGTATTTCTGCCTGTTCATTTTTACGTATTGTTGGCCTTTTCTACTTCCATGTTCCCCTTTCCCTGTCCCTCCTGCTTCCCCTGACTGCCTTCCTGTCTCTTCATACCCCGTGACATCCATGTGTGCCCACACTGTCGAGTTCCAGACCTTCAGGGCTGGAGTTGATGGGCAGTTCCTATCCCATACCTTACTATCAAAGTCATGTTTGGGGTCAGAAAAGTGATTTCAATGTTGGGTAGGAACTTCATGGAGCTCTTCTGCCAGACTACCTGGCTTCGTTTATTTCTCATGGCTTCCCTGTTTCCTGTTGGTCTTGCAGCATTGTGAAGGATTTCTAGATACTGGTTAAATACCCATTGCTTCAGGGATGTTGAGTTTAACAGTGAGTGTCACATGGCCTTTGATCCCAGAATACTGTTCCCTAGACTCAAGGTGGTTTATATTTTGGACTCAAACTGTTGGTACCTTTATTAGCAAGTAGCACTTGTTTGCCTTGAATTTTGGTTCTCTAAGGGCAGAATGTAGAGTTCAAAAGTAATTAATGATCCTTTACAGACAGTCTAGGAGACTGGGGGTGGGGGAGGGACAGACTCCTAAGAAGGCCCTGTTCTTCCGCCTGGGGTTTGTGCGTCAAGGAAGGATTCTCAAAGGCAGTGTCAGGTATTAGGTACAGCGTGCTGAGCCCCCAGACACAGGTGAAGGGCAGCTCCCGCTCTGCCTGGCTGGGCCAGCACGCAGGTAAATGCCTGCTGTGGGTGACGGGGCATCAGCACAGGGGCTCTGGGCGTGCAGAAGGAGGCTGGGTGGGTCTCGGGAGGAACTGGAGCAGAGGGTCATTCCCAGCACAAGGTTGGCCAGTGTGGCGGGTCAGTGGCATGTAGGAGGCTGAAGGGAGGCCTGGGGCTCCTCGCAAGCTGGCCTTGCTCGAGTGTTTGAATGTTCTCCACGGGCGGAGTGGAGTACTGAAAGCTTTAGACTGGAGGGCATCACTGTGCTGTTGCTCGGGCTGCGGAGGACAGGCCTGGAATTGGGGGCCACTTGGAAGGTTTTGCAAACAAATCCAGGCCAGGCCCTCAGTCATGCAGGGGCCTGACCCAAGAGGAAATACTCCAAGGAAAATTAGAAAACAAAATGCCGCCCCCTGAGGTGGGCAGAGTTCTTTATGACTTGAGTGCCTAGAGCAAACATGTTAAACGCACGGCCTTGTTGGCATGCGGCCCGCCGGCCGCAGTTTGACATGCTTGGCCTAGGCCTTGGCGTTGCCTGACCCCCCCCCCCCCCCCCCCAGGGGTTAAGGGGAGATTCGGATTTGGTATTTATTTGTAATGGGCTTAGAAACTCTCACAAGGTAGCTCTCAGCAGAAAGTGAATAGGGTACAACTAAGTTGTTTCTCCTGTGCTTATCTGAACATTTTAATTTCTCTAATTTCAGAGTAAATTATGCCCATAAGTTAGAAATGGAACTTTTCGTTTTCCCTTATTCTTTCTCTATGGAAAACCCACTTCGGTTTCATAAAAGCCAGACATTAGATAGAGACAGTATTTGCAAGTCAATGGAGTTCTCATGAGCTCCTAAATCCACAGCATTGCCCCTGGGGGTGGGGCTCCAAGGCAGGAACTTTGTAATAAATGGTTTACGTGTTTTTGTTTTTGTTTTTGAGACCAAGTGATAATCTATAGAATATATTTTCCTAAGAGTACGTCTTTCAGGTACAGAATCTTTCATAAGAATTTTTGGTATAAATGGTATTGATTTAAAATAACCATGGAGCCGGAACCGGTTTGGCTCAGTGGATAGAGCGTCGGCTTGCGGACTGAAAGGTCCCAGGTTCGATTCCGGTCAAGGGCATGTACCTTGGTTGCGGGCACATCCCCAGTGGGAGATGTGCAGGAGGCAGCTGATCGATGTTTCTCTCTCATCGATGTTTCTAACTCTCTATCTCTCTCCCTTCCTCTCTGTAAAAAATCAATAAAATATATTTAAAAAAAAAAATGTAAATGTAAATGTTAAAAAAAAAAAAAAAAAAAAAAAAAAATAAAATAAAATAACCATGGAGTTGTTTGCTCAGTTTTATAAAGCATGTACAGTGCACCCTTTTGATTACCTGTGGGGAGCTTTTATTCTCTACTTGCCCAAAAAAGACCCTCCTGAGTGAAAGACCCTTGTTGTCCCCCCAGATCACCACTGGGTACAACCTGGAGGACGACCGCTGTGAATGTGTGGCTCTGCAGGACTTCCGGGCTGGAGAGCAGGTAGGCCCGGCTGCCGGAGTGGGGGCGGGCCAGTGGGCACTGAGCTCATGCTGTGTCGGGCAGGAAAACGGGGGACTTCTCCTGAGGATTGTTTGGGAGCTGTTGTAAACACATTGTGCTTTGCATCAGACCTTTACATCCACAACAACAACAAGATTTAAATGAAATTATTTGCACAGTTGACCTAATATTTGTAAAGTTGTCAACTGAAAACAAACTTGGTGTTATGACAGTAGAACAAATTTTTCAGTTTATAAACTTCATTGTTTTTATTTCTTTTTCTGTTGACTAGAACCTTTAAAAGGAGGCTATTTAAGTGGTAAAAACATAGAGGAACCTGGAAGTACAAAATCTATCTTCTTGTTCTTGAATCTGTGAATTTTTATCTAATAATGTGGGCAGGATTACACCTTTCAGTACGTTTGAGAATAGGCACCTGCAAATAACTTCATTCTGTCTACTGGTCTTATGACCAAGCAGATAGTACAAAAAAACCCAGGACTGGTGTACACCATTGACGTTCCATTTGAGACAAAATGAGACTATTTGTCCAACAAAGTACTGATCTGCTCTTTGCAGAAACCTGAATAGACCTTCCTGCTAGGTCAGAATTGCTATAGGAATTACTGGCAGACATCACTTTAAGCTCACTCCATTAGAGTGAGTCTTGTACTGAAAACAGGGGAGGAGCATGGTGAATTGTAGAGGGCATTTGTGAAGTGACAGTCCTACTTTCCCCGGGGGAACAGGATTGTGAGGAAGGCCCTGGCCTCCCTGACAGTTTGGGAAGTTGGGGAAATTGCACCTCTTGCTGCAACCTCCCCCTAGCACAGGTGGTGTACAGTGCAGAGCTACCTCGTTGCCTTAGTGTACAGTCATGTTAAGTGTACGAGAACTGATCCTTTGCCCTGCTTTGTGTTAAGAATGGATGTTAAGTTTCTTTTATGTCCCTTTATTTTTTTCTTTACTGCATCTCAGATTTACATTTTTTATGGCACTCGGTCAAATGCAGAGTTTGTGATCCACAGTGGTTTTTTCTTTGACAATAATTCACACGACAGAGTGAAAATAAAGCTTGGAGTGAGTAAAAGTGACAGGCTCTACGCGATGAAGGCTGAGGTGTTGGCCCGCGCTGGCATCCCCACGTACGTAGAAAACTGGTCAGCTCTTTCCTGTGCTGCTTGAAATGTTTACTGCTGCATAATGTGTGTTAACAGAACTTCTCTACAGTTTGCCTTAATCCCTGTATCCCTATTACACAGCAAGTTTTCACCATGGAGATGCCTGGTGGCTTCCCAGTGTCTCCGATAAACATAATGGTGTCACTGGGAGCGCTCACAGGCAGTTCCAGGGCCTGTGGCCTGAAATCCTCATTAAGTTAAATAACTGCTTTGGTATCATTAATGTCTTTCACCTTGAAAAGGTTAATGACCTGGATCATTTTGTTTCATTTAATTCTTTGCCACCATTAGTTTCTGTAATGAAGTCATGATCCTCAGTGATTTCAAGAATTTCTACTTAAATTCTTTAAGATTTTAGTGCATTTGAGGTCCAAAATGATAAAGAGGACAAGAATTATGATTCATTAGTTCTCCGGGGAACGGAGGAACCATTCTTAATGAAAATGGATTATCCAGGCTTTTTTTCATTGAACTTGTCAATATTTGATTCATGATTAAAATGTGAACTCAACATAAATTATTGTTAACATTTTTTAGGAACCCCAGGTATGCTTAATTCTCTTGGTGTGTTGTATGCACCCTGCGGTTAGGCTGTTAGATTGTAAGAATTGCCAGCAGAGCGGCCACGCCGTCTTCGTCGGTCAGCGGCCTCCCCTGTGCAAGGGGCTTTCATAGTTGAGGCGAGGAGCTGGACTGACTCATGCCAGCTCCACGCTCCTGAGGACGGCACGGGGATTGCAGCCTAAGGGGCTTCTCTGGGAGCCAGCAGGTGACTGATCTTCCTGTTTTGTCAGGTCCAGCGTGTTCGCCTTGCACTTTACAGAGCCGCCCATCTCTGCCCAGCTGCTGGCTTTTCTCCGAGTATTCTGCATGACCGAAGGTAAATCCTTTCAGGAAGAAAATGTTCACTTGTCCAAAAATTCATGGAAGTGTAAAGCATTGGGGTTCAGATTAAAGATAAAATTGCTGAAAACTAAAGTACCTTTTGGCAGGAGGTAGGATAGCAACAATGGAGAAAGAAGTTCTACTTTACTCTGTAAATGTTTTATTAAATCCTTGATGTGTTGTCAATATTCATTTGTCATAAAGAATTTCTACCTTGTTGGAAGAAAACTTAAAGCATCTTGGATTGTTAGCCGTGTGAAAGCTACATTTGGAAATGGGAGTCGTTGACGTGCTTGCCCAGGATGGCAGTGCTGTTTCCCTCGCCGTGCACTGCTCTCTGTTCCCCAGAGCGGTTAGCGCAGTCCACCCTGACGTCACCGGGCAGCAGTGGCCTACGTGGGCCACAGGGCTTTCTTTGCTAACCAGCTCCAGGTTCTGACCTGAAATCACCTGGGCAACGGGTTAGAGTAAATACCGCCGCAAACAATCTACTTCAGTCACAAATATGCTTGCCTCCACCCCCATCCTCAGTCACAGAAAGAGTTAAATATATGTATTGAGAATCTGTTTAGTGTTTGCTTAAAACAGTCTTTGGGGGTTTCTTACTGAGACTTGACTTACTGTGGTGGTTGTTTTTTTTCTCCATTTTTTATCTGAAACTGCTGCACATACTCGGGTGTTGAGGCTTCGTTTTTAATTGTGTGTATTTGCTGTTCTTGTCAACTCCATTAAACCCCATGTGTGCCAAACAGAGCGGTGGGAGGGAGGGAGTGAGAGGGAGCGAGTGAGCTAGTGGCTGTCTAATTGAACAGACAAGGGAGTGTCCTGCCCACAGCTGCCTGAGCACTGGGGAAGGGCATTGGGCCGTGGAGGGGACACCACTGGGCTCGCCCATCCCCAGCTCCCTGACTTCATGTCTGGGTCCCGGAGAAGTGCTGCCTGGCCCAGGCCTTCCCCAGGATGGAGGGAGAGGACACTTGGTCCCAACACAGAGAGGCCATTTAGACACCAACTGCAGGACCCGCCAAGGCGCTGGATGGCACTTGTCCCTCTCGCGCAGCCATGGTGCTGTAGCCTCACCCTCACTCAGATGAGAGCTTGGGGTAACCTCGTGCTTAGGTAGGGGTTCATCAGTTCTGTTTGATGAACGGAGTAAGGGTTACCTGTGGGCTTTTCTTGCATGTAATACAGGGGTGCAGAGTTCAGTGTCACAGTTTATATACTGAAGGCATTTATAATGAAGAGGCGATGGCCATGATGACCCACTGCGTGCCCTGAGCGACACTAAGTGTGCCACTTACTTTATGTTAATCGCTGTCACCTGGTGAGAGATAGGGGTTCCCACAGGCCTAATGTAGAGATGCCAGTTCACAGAGGACGGGGGACTTGGCCACTCTGCCAGCAGGTGATGACCCTGACTCAGCTAATTCCAGAGCCCGCACCCAGGCATCCCACATGGCTGCTGTTGGTTTGCAAATGACATAATCCACAGAAGAGGTCCTAGTCCCCCAGGGCCTGGAGTAGCCAGGCTAAGGAGCAAGGGCGCCAGCCACCTCGAGTGACCAGATCCTCTCTCCCGTAGTGGCAGGTGAAGCTGAGGAACCCCCTGAGGACAGGGCTGGCTCCAGCATCTGTTAACAGAGGAAAGCCCGGGAAGGCAGCCCACTGCACAAGCCTTGGGTTCATTTCCTGAGTGTTCCTGGTGACTGCCTCTTTTCCCCTCGGGTGGGTTTCATCCCTCCAGTAATGTGGAATGAGTGCAGTCTCACTGTTCAAACGGAAGGGGCGGAGAGAGAAGGCCGAGCTCCTCAGCTCGCCCGCACAGAGGTGTAGCACGGCCGGTCACGGACAAACACGAAAACAGTAACCTCAGTATTGGGGGCTTCCAAAAACAACCACTAAGGGAACATTTTAAAACTTTTCATTACTTTATAAAAGAATATAAACTGAAGGATCAAAAATCTAACAACCCAAGTGTTCTCAATCTTTTACTGATAAAGGTGACTTAAAGAATTTCTTTTTTGAACATTAGATTAACATCTATCTTGTTTAAAAAGAGGAACTACTTGAATCATTTTAGATTGGATATGATTTTTTTTTTCATTTCTCTTTAGTCATAGACAGTTTGTCATGTCAAGACAATTGATGTATCCTTGGAATTACTCTAATACTGATAAAAGTTTGGTTTGCTGGCAACAGAAGTCCTTGCATTTGAATTGTAAACAGTGACAGCTGTGGGGCATTTTGCTCTGAAAGAGATCCTGTCTTATAATTGCATAAGGAGCTGGTGGGTTTCTTGAGCATGAATAGGACAGCGTGTTTTGGTCTTTTGAAGATAATGTGCCAAGAGAGAAGCTGCTCAGAGCAGTTGCTGAGTCCTTTCCTCTTAAATATAGTTGAAGGAAATTGAGATGTTCACTTGCGTTTATTTGTAATTGTTAAATTCCTGACAAGTGGACATCCGCACATTTTTCATTAACTAGCTTTTTCTAGCCCATTTTCTTGTTTTTCTCAGTTGTGGCTTACTTGTTGTAAGTTGGGCTAAATAGCGTGGCCAGGTCAACTATTGGAATAGCCCTGATCAGATACAATTTAGAAGGCTCGCCAAGTGTTCTGCTGTTGTTTGTTTTCACTCTTTACATTGTTCATTTAAATGTCTTTTTGACCCGGTTGGTGTGACGGAGCTCATGGCTTGTAGGAAGGTTGTTGTCCAAATGCCGCTGTAGGTTGTCTTTTAAAAGTATCTCATAGGACTGCCTAAAGCTCTCAGTGTCCCTCAGAAACACCATGAAGATGGAGGCTTCCTGTGGACCCAGCTGGAAGCCCTCCCCTTGTTTTCCTGCCCAACACTCAGCTCCCACTCACTCTGGTGAGTCTAGAAAGGCCTGGCTGACGAGTGGCAGGAAAGCGACATGTTTGGAAAAGCTGTTTGTAAGGTGGATTGCTTGTTTAAATGAGGAGTGCTGCTTCTGCTAACAGATGGCTGTTTGTACTTCTTGTAGAAGAACTGAAGGACCATTTGCTAGGAGATAATGCTATCGACAAAATCTTCACCTTGGGTAACTCTGAGTATCCTGTGAGCTGGGACAACGAGGTCAAACTCTGGACATTTCTTGAAGATCGAGCCTCGCTTCTTTTAAAAACATACAAGACAACCAGTGAGGTAACTTGACTGAGTGAGGATTTGAGCTTTGTCATGTTTTAAAAGATGCTTAATAAGAGACTCCTTCCTACATGTAAATGGCTATAATTCTTTTTTCCTATTTAACACGTTTACACTTACTAAAAGGATCATATTGAGGCATTGTCAATTAGAAGACCATGTTTACATGGTTTGATACTTCTCTGTGATTTCTACTTCACATGATACAACAGCTAAAAGCTCTCATCTGTGCTTTTGAGTTGGCCATTGAGGCACTAACTCGAAGTGCTTCTCATTCACTCATTCACCTATTCATCCATTCAGCCAAGGGCCAAGCCCTGGGTCCATTCCTGCACAAGACCAGACAGAGAACCTTTTAAATGGAAGTGAGGTTTTCTGTCCCATGTGCTAAAGCACCCTTTGAGTTAGGCCCCTCTTTTTTGTTTTATGACTGCTTTACTGAGGCACTAGTGACCCGGTGCATGGATTTGTGCATGTTGAAAGGAAATTAATTAGAAGGTGGCTGGCTGGGCGGGACTGGGCAAGACGGGCCGGACATGCCCTGGAGCCAACCTCCAGCAGTCCCTCCCTGGCCAGCTGAACCTGGGGTGTCACCGTGGCTCCAAGGGCATCTGTGGAATGAGCGGGGTCCCTTTGGCAGGTGGGGTCCCTCAGCCTGGCCTGTGGGGATTGGGCTGAAACTGGCTCTCCAACATCCCCCACAGGGTCCTGGAGTGTGAGAGGGCACTCTGCAAAGTTGCTGTCGTACAGGGTATGGAACGCAAACGCAAGTGTGCAGTAAACCAGATTCGGGCTGACAGTGCCCCAGCAACAACATAACCCACGGCCGAAGGTGGAATCACTAGATACCACAAAGAATCGGGCTCCCTCTTCTGGTTTCGGGGTGCGTCACCCGAGAACTGCCACTGCCAGTCACTGCAGCTCAGCAGCTCCTGAATTGAGCGTCTGCCCCCTGGTGGTCAGTACGCATCATAGCAACCAGTCAGATGGTTGTACACTTAGCATATTAGCCTCTTATATATACAGATAGTTAACACACAGCACAGTCACACTGCTGAAGTGTACATTATGATGTGAGTATACCGTCATGCAGCCACCTCCACAGTCAAGTTCTAAAATCTGTGTCACCCCCAAAATGTCCCTCATGCCCCCCACCCCCAGCAGCAGCTGATCTGCATTCTTTCTCTGTAGTTTTGCTGCTTTAAACTTCTTGCAATTAATTGTGATCTTTTTCATTTCCTAGGAAGACAAGTCCTTCTTGAAAAACCACGACCTTTCTGTTCGTGCGAGAATGGCCATCAAGTTGCGCTTGGGTGAAAAAGAGATTTTGGAAAAGGCAGTGAAGAGTGCAGCTGCCAACCGGGAGTCTTACCGCAAGCAGATGGAGGAGGGGGCGCCGCTGCCCAAGTATGAGGAGAGTAACCCAGGGCTGCTGGAGGGCGGCGGGGCGGACTCGAGGCTGCCCCTGGTCCTGCGCAGCCTGGAGGAGGAGGCTGGCGTGCAGGAGGCCCTCACCCTCTCTGAGGTTGTCAGCCGAGCAAAGGCTGCGGAAAACGGGCTCATCAGTGGCCAAAACTCTATTCCCAACGGGGCCAGGTTAGAAAAGGAAAGTTTAGACCCAGAGGAAAGGAAAAGAGCGACTGAAGATGCCAAAGAACCTTCAGAGAGCGCCGAGGGAGTCGGCGAGCAGCTCTGAGGGCGCTCTGCCTGGAGCTCGTTCCGATTTATGGACAGCCCCCTGACATCGCTGTGGTCCCTGGTTTCACGTTTTTGTTGTGTTTTTTTTCTTTTCTGCAGAGAGGAAAGTGTTTTTGCTGCTTTATATAAAAATAATTTTTTTAAGTTATTTAAAAAATCTAGCTTCCCTTTTTGATTAAGATTGCCATCTTGCTTTTAGGCAAAACAAGTTATCAAACCATGACAGCGAAGGGGGAAGAGAGGTGCCGTGGAAGATTGTGCAGAGCCATTGTGGGCAAAGTATTTTCTTCCTGGGGAAGAATTAGCTCCTCTCTCAGCTGTGCTTTTGTGGGCCTGTCATCATGACAGCCAGAATGAGGCCTGCTCTGCCTCCTGCCAAACAGGACGTGGTGGGGGCTGGGGGCTCCGTGTGGGAAGGGGGTGCAGTTGTACAGCCGAGAACGGGCTTGAGGTTTGGAAACTTGTCTGCAGAATCTTTTTTTCCCCTAAAAATTTAACACTCCATTACCAAAAGGAGAGGTAAGGTGGCAACCTTATTTTTAATAGTTTTAAATGTTGACGATAACCCTAATTATATAATTATACACACACCTAGTGATTTCTAAAGATTTGTTTACTTTTTGTGTTTTGTTTACTGTATTAAGAATGTGTCCTTTCTCCTTGAATCAACGTAGGACATGCATCATTCCTAGTTTCAAATGTTGGCCCTGCGCTTAAAGTGATGCATTTGATTTCCAGTGTTGGGAGCGGAGTTTGCAAACCCAGCGGCTGTTTTCTGCGACCAGGTTCAGAGTGAGGTGGCTTCCTGGCGCTTCTGGTTTTCACAACAAGCTAGAGATTTTCAAAGCTACACTTTTGAGTAAAAAGCCTTATTAAAAGGAAAATGTGATTAATATATTTGTCTATTCCTTTTCTTTGGAGTGGGACAGGCTCTTTGAATCGAGCTTTTATGCAAACCACCCTGCAACCCACCAGGCAGGGATTTAGGCCGAGCAGTGCAGTGCCATGCAGTGCTTGCTGGGGGGTTCAGAGATGATGGAGGCCTGTGCCCAGCCTCATCAGCTGCCAGGTGCTCCGGACAGAGGGCCTGAGAGGCAGGAACACAAAGAGGACGCTAAGTTGTAAGGGAAGTAAAGGCTGGGGATGGCGTCCGGGTGGGGAATGGGCGCATCCATCCCTATAAAATCGCCAGTTTTCAGATGTCAGACTTAACTATAAATTTCACATCAACTCTGATGTTCCTTTAAGCCATCACGTGATTTTGAGGATGCTGCCTTGGTGAACATCGCTGCTTACAGGTCGTCTCAGGGTGGTCTCAGCCCTTCTCCCTCAAGAAGACACTGCAGAGACACTGCTTCGTTCTGCTGTGCACCCGCTTCCGGAGCTGCGGGGGTCAGCTCCCTGCTGTGCACCCGCTTCCGGAGCTGCGCGGGGGTCAGGCCCCTGCTGTGCACCCGCTTCTGGAGCTGTGCGGGTCAGCTCCCTGCTGCGGCGCCTGGTTGGCAGCTTTCCTCTCTGAGTGAGGTTGGCAACTCTGTGTGATGCCTCTACCTTCCCTTCCTTGTTGGTCTGTACCAGTTTGAACTTATCCGTGGGAGGACACCTGTGGTGCCAACTCCCCTCTCACCTTGTGCCGTGGCCCTCTTTTAAAAATATTTATTGAATTGATTGGGGTGACATTGGTCAACCATATAGGTGTCAGGTGTGGGTTTCTATGTTATAAGATCTGTATATTGCGCCGTGTGCCCACCACCCAGTCACATCTCCTGTCACCTTATATTAGGACTCCCTTCTTCCCCACCCCCTCCCCCCTGGCAACCACCACACTGCTGTTTGTGTTCATGGGTTTTCGTTTTATCTCCCACATATGAGTGAAATCGTATGGTTCTTACCTTTTTCTGACTTACTGCACTTAGCATAATGTTCTTGGTCCATCCATGTTGTGGCAAAAATGCTATTTCATCCTTTTTTGTGGCTGAGTAGTATTCCATTATGTACATGTACCCAGGTCCTTTCCCGAAGTGAGAAATAGTCTGAGACTAAATACTGACTTCCAAGGGCTGCTGTGGCCTCCAGGAGCCTGCTCTGGCAGCCGCGTCCAGTGGCTGGAACTCCATGATTAATTTGTAGATCATTTGCTCATTGGAGTGAAAGTTTTCAAGTCTAATGTCACGTGTGTCCTTTGAAAAAACATACACAGTTCAGACTTAAAACAGCACCACGAGATGGGATAGTTTTGAAAATATCCCCTAGAAAAGATGTGAGTTTGGATGGAGCTGAAAGACCCCCGGGCGGAGTCGGGTTATGTCAAGTCCTCAAAACCACCAGGGTGTTGCCGTGTCTACCCCGGGCCTCTGTCTTCATTTGCTTGTGAGATGGAAGCATGTGCTAAATGATCAAAAGTCCCCACTTACAAAATTTGGAGACTGTACTGCTCATGCATTCCCTGTCCACAGGGTCTGTTTACTAAGGTTATGGGGCCAAAGAGTGAGTCTATGTTAGGCTCCCAGCGGAGGACAGTCCCCGAGTTCGTGATGTAAAAAGGGCGCTCATGAGAAGACCCGCTGGCAGATGAGGGGCGCTTTCCCCATGGCTTCTAGGACAGGCTCACTACAGGACCGATCTATCATTTATTTATTTTTGAGAGATGGGTTGAGACACTGACAATATTCTCAGGTTCCCAGTGCCTGTGGTTCTGCTAAATTAAACCGTCACTTAAAAATGAGGGAATTGCTTTTCTCTAAATCACCACTACATGCTTTTTTTGGTGGTTCATATGCACTGGTACGTATTAGAGTGAGAGATTTGAAAAAAGAAAAACCAATCCAAAGAAAGCACCTGGGACTTGAGGTCAGAACCAGAACAGCACTGTATTGACGGTAAAGAAAGTCGGGGATTACGTGGCGGTGGTTTGGGGGTGCTGGCTACGGTGAGATGCTTTTTATGGCATATATTGTTCTATGTTCATATTATTGATCTGGAAAATGAATGTGTTTAGTAGGGTATAGCCAATAACCTGACCCAAGGATTTGGCTCCCTTTTAGTTAAATGTCAGTTTCAGGTGGGTCTGGAATAGAATCCGATAACCTCATTAAAGGTCACCCTATTTCAATCAGCAGCACCTCATCTAATATATTCCTAAAATTCTGTGTGTAAATTGAATTTGAGGTACTCGAATTGTATTTAAATGCACTCATGGATTTGTTATTTAGATGAAGCTGTAGTACAGGTCCTGGTGTGCCTGGGCCAGAGGGAGGAAGCCCAGGACCCCAGTCCTGTCGCCCTGTATTTGAAGAACTGTCACATGAAGGAGGGATGGAGCCTCCTCAGGATGTGAGAGGGCAGATCTCAGCCAGTGAGTACGAGCAGATTGTGGGGGCCGTACTGGCTCCTTGGACATGGACATGGACAGGCCGCTGGCCGTCAAGAGCGGGCAGCTGAGTATTCTAAAATGAGGATATTCTAAATGGCCGCACACTTTGTTTTATTCATCATTTTACAGGGGGCGGAGGCAGTCCACTGGCTGAGTGCACGTTCAGACTGCCCTGCTCTCTCCTGGCCATGGGTCCTGGGACAGTCCTTGAGGGTCTGCGCTTCCTCCCTCTGGTCCCCAGGGACCAGGAGGACCAGATGAGGTAATGCGTGTAAGAGCTTCCGGCTCCGTGCCTGCCCGCTGAGCATCCGGTAAATGTTAGCTGCGACGGTCTCTCCGGCTGAGCAGCTCCCGGGAGGCAGAAAATCTTAGTGAGGCCGGGGGTGGGGAACAAAATCCCCTCCCCCACCACTCTTCAGGCAGGCAGCCCGCACCTGCCCATCCACATAGGCACTTCAGGCCCGGACTCCAACATTGTGTTCTTGGTGCGCTGCCAGGACCTGTGGGCATTTCACAGGTTCCTAAGGAGCCCTTGCTGGTGAGGCAGCCGTTCGGACACATAACCATACCCGAGTGGAGCACGCCACACCAGGCGCTGTGGCACTCGGGGAGAGGGGGCACCAGAGGAGGTAGCAGCTGGGTGTTTGGGGTCATTTGTGAGCAGTGGAGTGGGGGCAGGGAATGGCCCTGCGTGTACGGGAGGGTCAGGAAGGGCAGGCCTCTGGGAGAAATCCTGCAGGACACTGGATCTGAATACCACAGTGCCGGCAGGTGCAGGAGGACAGCACCGGAAGTCCACCCACTATGTCAGTGGTTCTCAACCTTCTGGCCCTTTAAATACAGTTCCTCATGTTGTGACCCAACCATAAAATTATTTTCATTGCTACTTCATAACTGTAATGTTGCTACTGTTATGAATCGTAATGTAAATATTTGATATGCAGATGGTCTTAGGCGACCCCTGTGAAAAGGTCGTTCGACCGCCAAAGGGGTCGCGACCCACAGGTTGAGAACCGCTGCACTAAGTAGAAGCTTTAGCTGGAAAAGCGCTATGGTTGCAGCTCCTTTAAGCACAGACATCACCATTGCTGCTTCCCTTAGGAACAGATAAAAGGCAAAGAAGGCTGTGCTCACAGAGCTTGTAGCAGGATCTGTGGGCTTGAGGTTGCTAACTCCACGTTGCACATCAGCTCAGACTGATTAACAGCCTCCAGTACCCTCTTACTCACGTGAGCCACTTTCCTTGGCCTGGGTCCTGGCATACTCGTGGGTGTATCATGCATCTGTTTTGTACATATAAACATGTACACACAGAGGTACATATGTATACATGGACGTGTGTGTGTGTGTGTGTGTGTGTGTGTGTGTGTGTGTGTATAATGCTTTCTCAACTCAGGCTCTTCCGTGTGAGATACCAGGGAGGTTACTGGGCGGGGTTTAGGCCAAGCTCTACAGCGCAGGTGCCTGGACACCCCTGCAGTTGTGCTGTGTGCCTCTGCTGGCTCGTCGGGTACATGGTGCAGGCGTGTGCTCTGAGAGGGTACCTGGCGCTGGCGTGTGCTCTGAGAGGGTACCTGGTGCAGGCGTGTGCTCTGAGAGGGTACCTGGTGCTGGCGTGTGCTCTGAGAAGGTACCTGGCGCAGGCGTGTGCTCTGAGAAGGTACCTGACGCTGGCGTGTGCTCTGAGAAGGTACCTGGCGCAGGCGTGTACTCTGACAAGGTACCTGACGCAGGCGTGTGCTCTGAGAAGGTACCTGGCGCTGGCGTGTACTCTGAGAAGGTACCTGGCGCAGGCGTGTGCTCTGACAAGGTACCTGGCGCAGGCGTGTACTCTGAGAAGGTACCTGGTGCTGGCGTGTGCTCTGACAAGATACCTGGTGCTGGCGTGTGCTCTGACAAGGTACCTGGCGCAGGTGTGTACTCTGAGAAGGTACCTGGTGCTGGCGTGTGCTCTGACAAGGTACCTGGCGCTGGCGTGTGCTCTGACAAGGTACCTGACCCAGGCGTGTGCTCTGAGAAGTTTCTTCACTGATGGGACAGGCACAGAGGGAGACGCCCACCTCTGACCATGAGTCGCGCCTCCAGCTTGATTAAAACCTCCCTCTCGCCAAAACCTGTTTGGCTCAGTGGATAGAGCATCGGCCTGCGGACTGAAAGGTCCCAGGTTCGATTCCGGTCAGGGGCATGTGCCTTGGTTGCGGGCACATCCCCAGTATAGGGTGTGCAGGAGGCAGCTGATTGATGTTTCTAACTCTCTACCTCTCTCTCCCTTCCTCTCTGTAAAAAATCAATAAAATATATTTTTTAAAAAAAACCTCCCTCTCCTCCGCCTGTTCTTGCTTCCCTGTTCTCGTTGCCGTGTGTCCTGCCTCCTCAGGAACGTTCCAGTAGCAAAGGGTCAGATAGCGGCTGAGCCTCAGAGCCCCCTTTCCCTCCTAACAGTGCCTGGATCTTGAGGAGCTGCTTTTAGGGTCCCAGGACCTGCATAAATCCCCAAGGGCAGTGGGTGCACCCCAGGCTGG